ACGGCTTCTCTTAGTCGACGAAGGGATGAACCGTTTGCGGTTGCAGGGTCAGCACAGCTGCCCTCAGGATAAAATTTGGCACAGGACTCAGAGCCCGTGAACGTCACGTGGGTGGAAGAGGGTGTCCAGCCAAAATTCGTGAAAAGTATCCTGAATACAGAAAACCAGTAATCGTTTTCTTAAACAGAAGAAAGCTGTGCGTATTTTTAATATCTCTGGGTACCTTATCCCAGATTACAATGTCGTTTGCATGTAGATAATAATAATAATAGAGTTTATTTATAAAGCACATCTTCGGCGCCGTCAAGAACCCCGGAAGGCACGAAAAAACCTAACCCAAGCCCCTTGTTTTGCTATCACTATTAGCTTTGTTTTGGTCTTTTGCTTGGTCAATAGTGTGCGAAATAAGGAGTTTGTTTTAAGTGAAAAAAATGCTGACTTTTAAGGTACAATACTAGCAAAACATGAAATAAAAGAGACATACATTATGCGTGTTATTTTTTCATAGTAAGAATGCTTTGGGTCTGGAAAAACTGCCATGTCCTTTAACTCAGGTGGATTTGGCCACGGTCAGTTTGAAGGCGAAAATAATCAGCTGAGAGCATCCCATCATCCGTCTGTAGGAATTTGCTCGATACGGAGACTACAATCTTCGTCCATCGGCCGAATTTTGACAAATAGATGGGATGTTGCAGATGTCTGAGGTGGGTCGAGGCAGCTGGAAGCTGATTGAGAAGCACCATCGTCATTCAAGTGCGACGGCAGAAGACACTTGGCCTTCCGTTTGTGGTACATCCCATCGAAGTGAGATAGAAATCTTGCTAAAAGCATGCTTAACATTTATACAGCTCGAGAATAGTTTTTTCTTTCCAGTATTTATGGACAAACCAATCAAAGTAGCGATCCCATTCCTCCGTGCCACTAGAGAGTGTAGATGACCAAAGCTTGAAGCTAACCATATTGTCAGCATATTCAAGGTCAATCAGCGGTATCTGGGGCAAACTCCACACCATCAAATTTGAGAAGGACTCCCCTGAGAATCCAGGCGATGGCGTTGTAAAACAGAACGAGCGAGGGTACGCAACCTTGTTAAACAATAGAGTGAATATTGAACGGGTGGTAGAGATTTCTGTAGACCAAAACTTCAGTGGCGTTTGAGCGATGGTAGGTCTTCATAATGGCAATGGTTTTGGTCTGCGCAGTATCTAATTTCATTAATTGCCACAGGATGAATGGATTCGAACGCAAAAGTGGAGCCAGCAAAGTAGACGGACGTCAGCTAATCCAAAAGCTTAACAACACCCGGACTAACCCTTATATCCGGACGTGCGGATCGTTCGCTGTACTCACTCGTTAATGACATAACACACAAAGGGAAGTTAATTATTAGGGATAATATATTATCGAAAAATAGATGGTGAAATTCGTAAGGATAATACTTCTTCCATTCTCCTATGTTCCAGTACATAAAAAGCACAGTGTTTTCATTAACAGGTTGTTCCTACAAAATCACAAGTCTATTGGTTAGATAAATACACCAGTCTCAAAGAGGCTTCAATGAGAGCAAAAACCGATCCTCTGGAAACGTAAGTTTGAGTAAGAGTATTCAAAAAATGTTTATTTTTCTTATTTTTATATCTTTGTATAGAAATACATATAATTAGACACTTAGACGACTTTAAAAGCCACATTCCCCATGTGCTTCCCAAAATAAAAGTAATTCGTTGACTGGAGCGGTAAACTGGTGCTACGACAGAACAAATCATTAATAAAAGTAGCACCTTATTGAAACGTATAAGCTTAAAGGCGTTCTTAAATTTATAAAAAGTGTAAAGTTAAACCCAACTTCCAGAGTCAAAAGGTAAATAAACTGCACCTATTAAACCTATGGGATAATATTTAGATATTGGTCAACATTGGCATGGCTTTATATGCTCCGGATGTGATTATTTATTTTATTATTTGAGAATTAAAAATTTATCTTTTAGTGGCTTTGAAACGTTTAGTTGCCAGGTTTGTCGGAATATCTGTTCCCATTTCTCTGTGGCGCATTAGCGTGTTAGAATAACCTGATTTGTTACCTTGAGGATTAGTTTTCCGGTTGTGCATCGTACGTCGGTTTTTCAATTTAAGCCTAGGTTTGCGCATTACATAGTCTTGTAGTAAGCAGGGCTTAAGCCAGTAATAAATAATTGTTTGTTACTATTTCCCCCCAGGTCAATCCCGTCGAAATTTGTATATTTTTACGGACAACGGATCCCTTTTTATGGGGAGTCAGTACGAGTTTACCCACCTCGCCCGCTTAAGCGCTGGGAAAAAGAATGTTATAGCTGTTGTCAAATATTTCAAGCCCGTGAAGAAAACCAGGGGGAGTGGTTATGCTTTGTTCATGTCAGTTACCGACCCTTCTCTTTGTGGGGACAAGTTTTCACTAACTTGTCTTTGTGATTCTGCCGCTCGACTGCCCCCGGTAAGTCAATTGCACCTGCGCGTATTTTTATGTGGCATGTTGTCTAACAGTTTATTGCCATTTTCCCTTACCTAACAGTATTTAGCCTAAAACTACCTTTTTACCTTCGATGGCAGCCATCGCTCTAGACCCAATCATGACTTTTAAATGTTTAATACATTAGACTATAGCACTTTCTTCCAGATAACCTGGAATGCATTCCGGGCCTTCATAAGACACTGCGAAAAAACTCTTTGTTTGAACTTGCTTA